CATTTTTGGGGACAAAATCACATTTATTGAATGCAAAGACTTTAGTTTAGGCATCGATTGCATGACATTTATGTTGACACCATTGTGTGTACCGATAGATAAATATCTCAATTGATCGAGTTTTGGGATGTTTTTGATGAACACTTCGGTCGACAAGTCTTCGAACAATTCAATGACCAAATGTTTGAGTTTAAAATGAGTGCAAATCTTAATGAACGTCTGATGCATCTGATCCGTGTCATCAAACACTTGTTCCAATATCTCCAATACTTCCAAATGCGGACATCTCTTCATCAGTACATCCATTGAGTGTTCTGTAATCTTGTCATTTAGTTTAAGGGAACGAATACTTTGTGGCAAATATTCAAACAATTCTTCCGTGAAAACATTGTTGTCGTGGAAATAACTCAATTCAATCGATTCAAGTGATGATAATTGTGGTAAAAGTTGTCGTATTATACCATCAGTTCTTCCCTCAAGAGTCAAATGAGACAATTGAGTCAACAGTGGTTTCCATGCGTTCAGTTGTTCGGCTTTGTCTGAAGGATTCATATAATTGTCATACAAATACAATCTCTTGAGTTGTGGACATCGGCTCGCAATCAGTGATATTATCTGTCCATCAATTGAAGCACTGTTTAAATACAAAGACTTTATGCTAAAACACTTCCCGAGTATTAAATTCAATGCTTCTTTGCTTTCAATCAAATCGTGATTATAGCCGGGTTTGAGAACAATGGCTTCACTGATGTCTCCTTCTCTGAATGAATGGTAATCTTTGTTACAGTCATTGCTATTGAATCCAACACTCAATGCATTCTTCCTCCGGAGAGCGCTCTCCTCTTTAGAATCAATACTTGAGACACAATCCATGAATTGATTACAAACCGACTCTAATCTCAATAATTGTTTGACATTTAGTTCATTCAAAATCAATCTCAAGATATCGTCATTCAAGACATGACTTCTTCGTGAATCCATGTCTTCGGTCGGACACCACTATCGCACCACTCGTTGTCTATAAGCGTCTTCTCAACAGATAACAAACCAAATGACAAACAGGTATTGAAATACAAACGAAACGTGTTTTCAATACAAAGGCATACAATGAGTGAGAAATGGATTACAATTTCAATATTAATCCTAAACTCTTTGTTAATGTATTAACTTTTGTTTCAATCACTAATCAATTGAATGAATGAATTGAAAGTTTTACTAAAACTTTTAGAAACTTTTAGTGAACTAATAGTCAATGAATACCTAATGAGGACCAGAGATGGCATCACTTCTCACATCACTTCTCACTTCACATGTCATTACAATTGACGACAAAAACCAAAACAATTGTTTGAATCGTATTTCGCGTCAAATGTGTTAACCGTTTGAGTGGACAATGACTTCGTGTCACACAATCACATCCCATATCACATGTCTTACCACAAGACACACCACCAGTGCGTGTGTGGGACGCGCTGTCATCGACGGTCACTATCGGCGCGACTCTTTCGATGACCGCATTTACGACGACTTATGCGAAGAGTTGTTGTCTTATCTGCCGTTTGAGGACAAGAATCGACTCCAATGTGTGTCCAAACAGTTCCGGCGATGTCTTCACCGACAACAACACGAGCTGACAGTCCGGCGCCAAACACTGGGCCACCGCTACCGGCGATGTCTGTCGGCCAACACATTTGAATCGCTGGTCCGGAGGTTTCCGTACGTCCGGTGCGTTAGTCTCGACCTGAATGACAGCCAATGCGCGGATCAGTTGATTGAACTGATTGTCCAATACTGTCATCACTTGGACTCAATTCACGTCAACTTCTTTGACAAACAACAGATTGAGACGCGAACTGAATACAAACCACTCGTCAAAGAGGAGACACTCCACAGGTTTATGGATCGGTTCGGCCGACAGTTGCGGCGAATTGTGGTCTTCGAGAACTTCGGCCAAATACTGGCCATTTGTCACAACTTATATGAACTCAATCTCTCCAACAGTTACTACAGTTTCGTGTGTCTCAGGTCTGCGTTCGCCACCGAAGAGTCCATGCATTTGATGCGATCCGTACGCCGGCTGTCATTCAATTACAACTCTTCGTCCGATTATCCGCTGTTTCGGCTCTTTGTGGCCAACAATAGGCTCACAATGGAGTCGATTGAGTGCAACGAAACCATCGACAGCGAAGACAACGGCTCGCTATTGAGACAAATCTCGCAATTAGTGAATCTGCGAAAACTGAAACTCCATTTACACTGCGATCAGATCCACGACTCGCTGAAGACGATCGCCAAGAGTTGCCGCCATTTGTCACAATTGGAGATGAGTTTCTACTCGTCGGACACATANTTTTATATAAAAGTGGGTTTTTTAAAGTGTAACCATAGGTTTAGTCTTGTTTTTATTGAATATATTCTCAAGTCTTGTTCATTATATGTGGGAATTAATTGATATTTCGTTCAATAATGCAATAGAAAGTCATTGACAATGAAAGTGAAGAATTGGTTCAGAATTGGGTTCAACTCAACCCCAAATAGCATTGCATCCCATTATCACAATTTATTATATAATCGCATGCAATCCTAAACACATTAAGCCATTTAATCATATAATGTATATATTTTTGTCTTTATTTTCAAATATTGCATTATATTTGGTATGAAATACCGAGTCTTTAATAATTAAATTGATTATCAATTATTGATAAGTAGTGTAAACAGTATTCAGTGACAAGAATTGAGTTTTAAATGTAATTTTAAAGTATTATTTCAATTATATTTGTATTTTAGTTGATTTTAACGATTGTTTTATTTAATTATTAACGCAGATGTATATTACTTTATCATTTTAATTCAAATAATTTCAATTTGTGCAATGAAACAGAGTTTTAAATAATATGTAAAAAATGTGATATTATTTGAATAATTATTGTTTAAATAAAGTAAATGAAACAAAAAATGTTTTTGTTTTTAAAGGAAATACACGACAAAAGTAATTGTATTACTAAATGAATGTATAAATAAAGCGTTTGCTGTGAATGTATGGTTCGCTTTGATTATTACGAGCACTAAATTAAATAAGACAATCAAACGCCAGATTTAAATAAATAAATTGTATTACAATAAGTGGTGTTACGTATGTTATAGACTGGGAAAGCCATCGACCTGTGATATAAGGCACTGGTCTGAGACCAGACACAGCTATGGTTTGCATATATGACTGAATGAAAAGGAAAAACTGGTGCAAAACAAATGAAAGTTATATTTTGTTTAATCATTTCATAATAGATTCACTCGAGTTTAACGTATATTAGTTATGCTCTCCTTATATCGCTATTTAACACTACATTCAAAAGTGTAGTTTATTTCAAGTTTTACTCTTTCTTGTGATTTGAAAATCGGAGAAAATGTTTTTATGTATTATTTTTACGTTTAATATGTGATATGATTTACTAGTTTTTATGGACACTTGTCGTTGAATATTTGCTGTACTTAATGGAAATTTATATAATAAAAACTTTAACTAATCTTTAAATATGTTAAAACTTTAAGTTTTATCAAGGAGACATTTGTTTTATTTTTATTTTTAAGTTTTTCTGTCGTTTCCTTTATTAATCGATAATTAAATCGATTCAATCATTCAGTTTTCATCAAAAACAAACTTTTCTTAAAGTTTTCTAAATTTAATGTTAAAAACATATTACAGTATAAGAATCTACAGTGTATTTGTAGCTTTTTATAGACATTGCAAAAAGAGTGATTTGATTTTACATGTCGTATATAATGTTCACCGCATTTTATATGTAATTATTTTTCGTTTCTGTAGTTTTTCTGAGAAAATGTTTAAAAACTATTTATTCAAATAAATCCAAAAGAGATAAATTTCTCTCTCTTTCGGAGTCAAAGGAAATGATTGATTAGAATTGAGTGAAAATATTAATAGTCGAGTGATTTAATGCAATACATAGTCTATAGCCGTAAAAAACTCAATTCAATTGTGAATAAATATATGAAATAGATTTACTCTCAAAATCCTTGACCGAAACGTTTTCTCTTAAAACAATTTAGCATTTCTTTTGGCAAACAGTATATCAGAGTTTGTGGAGGAAAACTATACGTTAAATACTAATACATGTATAAAATATAATATAATGTTTGCAATAATTATTAAAATGAGATAATTTTGTGGAATAACACCTCTCATTAATAAGCAATCAATTACTTCAGACGTCAGACTATTCTTATGTTTTCTCTCATAATATTCTCTTTGTTTGTGTGGAAAAGACTTCTTATATATGGAAAGTCTCCACAAATACTTTTAAAAAACTAAATTTCACTACAAATTTAGTCAACAGTATGTTTACAAAAAAAAAAACTAATTCATACGTCTATTACCTAACGATTCTTACATTTTATTTGCGAAAATTCAAGTTTTGATGTATTTTTGGGTAATTTCTTCAAATGAAATCAAATCTCCTGAAAACAAAACGCTAAGAAACTAAGTATTCTTCTAACGGATCACTAGTTTTGCTTCAAAACTACCAGTAATTACATTCCTAACGACACTTTTGACATTGAAATGATATCCAAACTCTTTTCTTCTTATTCTTCTCGTTTTAGTTGTTCTTCAATTTCATCGAAATTATCTTTAAGTCCTCTAATAAGTGGATGTTTAGGGCCTAAGGCTATCAATCGTATAATAATAGTGTATGTGTTTTATGCATTGCACAAGTTTTTGGCTATTTTTGCATACATTAAATGTATTTTGTTATTGAGATGAAACACATTTGAAGAACTGAAACCAATTAAGAGATATTTGTAGGAAAAATTCCCATTAATTTAGGGAATATTTAGTTCACTCTCACTGTTTGTCACTAAATTGTTCACAACCAAAACAACCATGATGAATCCTAAAATCCCCGAACCCAATGCAAAAAAATAATAATAATTTGAATTATAATGTTATTAACATTTCTTTATTAAATGTCATTTATTGTTTATAATTATAATACAGCAATATAGTTATAATTTGACAATGTTATAATAAATTTCTACACTAATGAATAAAAGTTTTTATAATTGATAACTCCTTCACAAGTGATCACAAATCCTTCAAATTAATTAAATTAGGAAATAATAAGAATAATATTATATGCATTTAAATTAATTTCCGATTTATAATTTGCATTTTTGACAAAAATTAAATTATTATTTATTACTTTCTATTATTGAATTCAATGCAAAAACAGGTCAATTGTAAACACAATAATTATTAAAACTTTATTTTTCCAATTGTTTTCAAATTAAATTTATATTCCGAGTAATATATTTAATTTTTGTCAACAAATCCATCAGTATTCATTAAATATTTTTGTTATTAGATTAAAACATTTCTACAAATTATGAAATCATTTAAAACTTTTTGATAATTTTAAAAATTGCGAAATAAAGTCAAATCAAAACAATAAAAATATAAATTTTCTAACATATCGTATGATTAATACCTATATTAAGATCTGAAATCTTGTTTGTATTTCAATTCATTTTCTTAACAATACTTTCACTCTTGAATTGTCTTCAATTAAATCAATTATATCCATAATTTACAACAAAGCTCTTTGTTATAAACCAAACAATTTAATAGTTTTACAAAATTAACTTTTTTGTCAAACCTTTTTGTCAAACAATAATTGTTTATTCAAATGATATTCAAAGGGTATAATTTGAAAGAAGGAAAGCAAAGATAAATCTTATGGGAAAAATAAACGCAAATTTATTAATAAATGTATGATTTAATAAAAAGTCGTTTTATTAAAAAACAAAAAGTTTAAGAAACCGAGTGATGAATATATGTTGCGATCGAAACGTACGTAAAAATTGCATTCAATTCAATCGAGGGATCATTTGTTGGAAAAAAGATCACTTTTTCCCCTCTTCTTAATGACGTTAGACATGAGAGACCAGAAACTAGTTGTTGTGTTCAACACAAACACTATGTGTTTCTCAGGTATATTCATGTATTTCTATATATATTTTTAGTGCAATAGGTTTTTATAGCCTCGATATTACACACCAGTATATAATGCAGTCGGTGTGACAACAAGTTGTGCAAGTATTGCAAACTAGTGAGTAAAATATACATACCTGTGCAGCTCTGCCCCCCTCTCCGGTATATACGCTTGTATTTAGTATTATTATTATTCTCGTAGAAAGTCGTGTGATTTCATGCGAAATAATCCAAGGATTGTGACCACAAAACAACTCAACGATATCGACACTACATAAGCGACTGTTTGACTCATTGCGCTCCCAGTCCTCCAAACTATAAACATCTCTTACTTTCCTTTTTGTTGATCACAAGTCGAAAGAGAAAGCGATGAAATACTTATTGATCGGAATCGCTTTCCTCGCCGTTGGTATGTATTCACACATTTATTCATTTCTTTTATTTTACATCTATTTTAATCTTGTTATTTAATTACTATTGTTTTATATGTTATTTTAATTTTATTAAATTTTTAACATTTCTAAATGAAAATTTATTGGAGTTTGTAAAGTGCTGTCTATATTAGAACATAACTTCTTTATTGATCCTAAAAAAGTTTTTAATGTTATAAAAGTTTTCAAAGATTGCCATAAATTACAATCAAAAGTTTAGAGACAGAATTTGTTGACAACATTTCATTTTCAATTGGATTTTTATTTAACTGTGAATTAATTTGATGCTAAATTTAAATGCATTTGAATTAATTTTAATGAAAAGTAAATTAATATCATATTTTTGGTGCAATTAATAATTCACTGAAAGCTTAAAATAAATTTTAATTATAGTAGTGGTGTGTGTCGTGAATTCAGTTCACTATTACTTTCAATAATGAAATACAAAATAGTATTTTCTTTCTTTATTTAAAGAACAAGATTTTGAGTTCAATTATAAATCAAGTGATAAAATAAATAAAACACAAACTTGTTAGCAATTTTGTATTTGAAAATAATTTGTATTTCTGTTTAACCTTAAAGTTTGTGTTTAGTTTTTGGGTATTGAATGGGAAAAACATAGTTTTCACGCAATTATTACTTCCAATTGAATGCCTTTTGAAAGTATAAATTTAAAGTAAAAGTTATTTTAAGCCCTAAAACTAGACACGTATTTATATACACATAAATAAATATAACTTTCTTTTCTTAGTCTTATATAAACGATATAATGATCTTATCTTTTGGTTTCACTCAAAAAATTTAAAAAAACTTTTTTGTCTCACAAATCAATATAAATATAAATAAATTAATTTTAGTATTTAGTGACAGAATTGTGTTAAGTTTTTCTGTCGTGTCTTATATTAAAAGAAAGCATTTATTGTTTATTTAAAAAATATATTATTTTTCACTGAATTATACATAACTAGAACAATGACATGACATTCGTGTTAACCGTATCTCGTTTTAATCGCTTATATCGTATACGCTATGAGAATAACTGAATTAACTATACGTTTACGCTATAAGTAAACATATTATGCAAAAGGAAAAACTTTATTTAATAAGTTTTTAAAACTTTACGATTGAAATGGAAATTTTTGCGACTCATTTTACCACATTAATTTTCCCCCTTTATTATCGATTGTATAATATTATATATTAATAGTTTGTTTTACTTGCGTTGATATATAGCCACTATAGTGAGGGCTCAGAGCTCATGTCATCTGAGAGAGTTGGACTTATGTCTGGCCTCAGGCCTGGCCTCCGGTCAAAACCTTCCCAGTAAGTGAACTAATCCTACAGTATATGAAAAACACCACACAATAGTGTTGACATTAAACTTACTTTCTAACCATAACTTTGCGTCCGATCGCAACCCCAACCCTCTGACCCATAGCCACAATCGCTGAGATTAATAAACAGTGCAATGGTTTCAAAGAGATGAACGAATGTATCGGCAATTATTCGCGTCGGTGTTCAACGAAAGCGATGCGAGACTTCATGCGAAGTGTGACCTCTCAGGGAGACGTCAAGTCCTGGTATTCAGAGTTCTGTACGAAAGACAGCTCAGCGGAGAGGGAAAAGTTTTTGAAACACTCGGTGTGTCTGAACACCGCTCAGAAAGAGGCCCGCAGTTGTACCAGAGATCTCACCGTCGCTCTCGACAAAGCCATCAACGCTGACATCGAGAACAGAATCCCCGGTTTGTTATCTCTCGAAACCAAACTTTTATACAAAAACTTTTGAACATTTAATTAAAATATTGATTTGTGTTGTATAACAGAGATGTGTTGCGCTGTCCGTCGTATGAGAAAGTGTTCGTCCGATATAATTGAGGCCAAGTGTGGAAAGGAGGGCATGAAATACATGGGACAGATGTTGCAATCGGTGGCCGGAACCAGAATACCAGAGATCGCTTGCCGTGACTTCGACCCGACCAGTCAGAAGTGTGTGTCTATATTGCCCGCCCCGGGAACCAAAGCCGGCAATACTAAGTCCAACTCTGTCCTCTCCCGTCTCCTCAACACCTATTCAGCCCTTTAAAGACCCAAAACCGACGGGAAGTTAGAGTTTCAACACTTTTTGGTCCACAAAAAGTGTTTAATTAAATACAATGCGCGCGAAATCATTATATATACGCTAATTATTACGTAAACGCCATTTCATACAAACAACTATTTTATATTAAGTTTATTTACAAAATAAAATTTTGAAAAAATGTTTTTTTCTTTGAACCGCTGTTTGCTTTCCTGTCTTTCGTGTTTCACATCAAAAGTGTGTCAAAAACTTTTTTTGACAAAATTTTGTTGTCTCTTATTTTTTGCTGAAAGTTTTATGTATTGATAACTGTGTGCTAACTATCGCTTTCATGCGATCCAAGGATTTAATATTCTTCGCGATAAGAAATTATATAAAAAATATTTATTTAAATTGTGTGAACAGGTTTTCAGACAATGAGTAAACAAATTTGTGAATGATTTTTCTCTTCAGACATTTACTTCCCATCAAAGTATAGGCTTTTATTTTAACGTTTAGTTATATTTAGACTTATATTTTGCTATTTTAATCATCAATAATAAGAAAGTTTTGGTTTTGGCGCAGACATTAGTGTCCACTTTTAAGATCAGTTGACATCACTTGACGTCTAATCGCTCGCATCTGAGACTAAATTCACAATTTCTGCTTAAAAAAGCGTTTACAAGTTATTTGAAAAACACCTGATTATTTATTTTCTATTATAAGCACTAAAACATTTAAATTAATAGTTTAAAGAATTAATTAATATATTGTAATGAAAAATTTGATACAAACAAAACTTATTTCTAGAAACTTTCCTAAAAAATTACTTTATTTACATGTATCATGTAAGTTTTTTTATAACGAAACAACGGGTAGAAGTAATCGCGAGGAATGACAATCACTATAACAATAGTTTGGTTTCAATAGTTTTAAATTAATTAATTTGAATTAATACCTCTCTACTGACTTTTGTGTAAGTGATCTCTACAGTTAGTAATACAAGTGTAATACAAGTATAGCAAAAGTGTATCGCTGTATATAAGACTAATGGCTTCAACGTCTTCGGCCACGCAAACGGTTCCTTCGGAGGCGACCAAAGATATGATAAAAATCAAAATAGTATTTAAAAAAGAAGTGCATGAAATGAGCTTAGAATCGGACAAAACGGTGTCTCACCTGAAGCTGAAGATCCAATTGGTGACGAGTGTGGCGCCAGATATGCAGAAACTGATCCACAGAGGAAAGCCTCTGAAGAACAACGAGTCCACTTTGGCCATGTGTGGCATCAAAAACAACGATAAGATACTACTGATCGGTTGCACTCTCACAGACGTCACTACCATTTTGAAGCCGAGTCCGCAAACGACGCCCGAAGTGCAGCGCATTCCCAGAGGGGTTCCCTTCTGTAAGCAAAACAAACACATGAAACTACTCGAGAAGGGACTCCCGAAGGATGTGATGCCCGGCTTGAAGACCGGCGACGAACCCATTCCTCCCGCGGGTGTCAAAGGGCTGACCGATAAATACGGAAAGAGCTGTGAATTGAGTTTTCGTCTGGAAAAAGACGAATTCTGTGTGAAATGGGGAGAGAAGTCATTCAATTACAGCATCTCTGAAGTCGATAACATCGACCACCAGACCATCGATGGACACGAAGAATACTCTATTCTCTTAATCCAAATGAGACACAAAAAGGATTTCTGGTTTTACTGGATTCCTCACCAGTATATCAATAGCATCCGAAAGGCGTTCACTTGATTCGCACCAAAACATACTGTGATATAGGATTCAAATAATAGTTTATTTTGACAATTATTTAGTTTAATAAACAATTTCTTTGGCATAGATTTATTTATTTGAGTTTTATATTTATAATTTCAATATAATTTGTTTTATTATATAATTTAGTGAATTGATTGTCAGATTAACTAATTTTTTATAACATAAAATATTTAACTTGATAAAAAAGGCATTAACATTGAGAACATGATAATTTGAAATTATCTAATTCGCAGACTATTATCTAAATGTTGACAAAACTCATGAAAACAATAATTAATACTCAATTAAAAGTTGTAAACAACTTATTTAATTCACTAATAATGCTAAACAATATGATAAAACATTAAGAATACATCAAAATAAACATTATTTATTAACAACCGGTAAGTTTAACTAAACTTTTAAAATAAATAAATCGATAATTAAAATAAAATTTAAGTCAATAACAGTCTGACAAA